GAGCGGCGTCCGAGTGGCCTTGAACACAAAAAAACATATTTCCTCAGTATGGTTGCCAGACAGAGTAAGAATAACGGGCTCAGTGACGTGAGTAATGTCAGGTAGGCGCTGGCTGGACAAAGCAGTGACATGCAAAGTGTGGGGAAGAGGTTCCTGCCCTAGCTGAAGGCGGTCTGCTAACTCAGAGTCAATAAAATTCTGTTCCGCCCCTGAATCTATCAAAACGGAGAGAACATGACCTTTGGTGTTGACCGTGAGCTGGGCAGACAGCATTAGCCGTGGAGGAGATTTGTCTTGGCTGAGACCGCCCACCAGCACTCCTACCGTCACTGGTGGGCGCGACCTTTTGCTCGAGATGGGCAAGAGGCGACCACATGTCCCTTGTGGCCGCAATAGAGGCACTCACTGGCAGAGATACGGCGCTGGCGTTCCGCGGCGGAGAGATGCGAGCCTCCAATCTGCATGGGTTGCTCTCCTCCGTCTGCGCTCTCTGCCTGCCGGGAAGAGCTGGGCTCCGAGGTGGAGCCAGCCCTCCACTGCCCCGTGGCCTCCTGGGAATTGTAGTGCCGCGGCAGACGACGAGCTCGCAGCCGGTCATCCACCTTAATACATAAAGCCACCCTTTGGAGGAAGCCCATTTCCACCGCTTGTATCCACAATCTTGTTCTTTCGGTCACTACCCACAGGTAGTGGTGGTCCCGGGACCCAATTTACCGTAGATCAACAGGTAAGTTGAGAGCTTCGCTTTTACACTGAGCTCTCTCTTCACCTCAACAGACCGGTACAGCGTCTACATCACTGCAGCTGCAGCACCAATCCGTCTGTCGATCTCCGGCTCCCTTCTTCCATCACTTGTGAACAAGACCCTGAGATACTTAAACTCCTCCACTTGGGGCAGAAACTCGTCCCTGACTGGGAGTGGGCACTCCACTCTTTTCCGACTGAGGACCATGGTCTCAAATTTTAGAGGTGCTGATTCTCATTCCCACTGCTTCAGACTCGGCTACGAACCATTTCAAGGCTAGCTGGAGGCCATCACCCAATAAAGCCAACAGAACCACATCATCTGCAAAAAGCAGAGATGAGATCCTGAGAAAGCCTTCCGCCACTTGGCTACGCCCAGAAATTCTGTCCATAAAAATTATTAACAGAATCTGTGACAAAGGGCAGCCCTGGCGAAGCCCATCACCCACCAGGAACGAGTTCGACGTATTGCCGGCTATGCGGACCAAGCTCTCTCAATGGTTTCATAAGAACTGAAAGGAAGTCGAAGTCAGCAGCGCTCCACCCACATTATACACAGTTCAGATTTCCCCTCCTGACCTCTGTCATTGAAAACAAATGGTATATAACAAAGTTTTGTGATTAACTTTTCTTATTGATCAAATACTTATTTTCCACCATAATTAGCAAAAAATTCTTTAGTAATTGGTGTGGCACGGACTCCACACGCACACACACACACACACGCACAGGATTTCTGTGCTCACAACTCTTTGCGACTTTCAGCTGTTTCACTTTTCAACGTGACAGCACAGGTAACTCCAGGATAGGGATGGGTATCGTTTAGGTTTTATCCGATACCGGTGCCAAACCGGTACTTTTGAAACGGTGCCGGTGCTTAAACGGTGCTCAAACCGGTGCTTAAAGAATGGAGAACACAAAATTGGTCAAAAAACCTCTCATGTTCAGCTGTTTTTTTGTAAAAAGATAACAATGTTAGCCTTTTCTGCAGCTATGGGGCATATATGGTATCACTCTTGGCTGGAAGCTTAAACAATGGAAAAAACACAAACTTTGTCCAAAAACCTCTCATGTTTAACCGTTTTCCACTTTTTCTTTGGTCATTTTAGCCTTTTTGGCCAGGGTGAAGGGAGTATCTGCCATCAAACAAGAAGACAGCCGCATGTAGCTGTGATGGTGTTTGCTAGTTCACCTTACATGCATTAATGTAATAATGTGGTTAGCCTACTCAACGTAAATTACACTCGAACAACATTAAGCTACTCACGCAGAGAAGAACGGCTGCTGCTGCATCATCATCCTCATCATTTCTGCTACACTGGCAGGGCTAGGGGCCAGGACTCTCCTCTTCGGGTTCTTGGGGGATGCTATGCGTCGCCAGGTGATTCATCGGATTTGAGGTGTTACCTCCTTTGACAGTATCACAGTATCAGCTTAAAGCACTTGTTGCTGCTGAGTTTGCATCTTTTGCTGTGAAGTACAGCCAGACTTTTGACCGCTTCGCCTTGGGCATTTTTAATCTGTAGCTCTGCTCTAAAAGAACGTACGTACCTGGACCCGCCTACTATCCTCGGAAACGTAAAATGATTGGCTAGAATCTAAAGTGTATCACAGCTCAGGAAAAAAAAGCACCGAAATAAAGCACCGAAATGTGCGCTGCTTTTCGGTCTGGTTACTACCGTTTATGTCAGAACCAGTGCCATCATGGCACCGGATACCGGTACCCATCCCTACTCCAGGAGCATCCCCTGCTCTCATGACTCCTCACACTCTTCTCCTCACCTCCTTCATCACTGTACATAAATAGAGCAGAAAGAGCATGATTAATTTTAGTCCACACCTAATTCCTCTGCCACCTCAACGCTGCCCTGAGAGCTCACCATACTGCAGCAGGCCAGAGACCACACCCCCACCTCAATCAGACAATGTGATTTTTTTTGGATTTTCTTTTCTCATTTTGTCTCTCATAGTTGAGGTATACCCAAGATGAAAATTACAGGCCTCTCTCATCTTTTTAAGTGGGAGAACTTGCACATCTGGTGGCTGACTAAATGCTTTTTTGCCCGACTGTATGTGGCTTAATTTTTTACCTCCCAATAAGAAGTTTTCATTCTTCCTCATGTTGGAAAATGCCACTAAGAGTGTACGGAGAGCATCAAAATATGATACGAAGGGGTTTTTGATCAAACCTCTGCGTAGGCTGATGTTGGGTGAACCGGTGCATCTAACAGGTTAACATTTTCACTTTGGAGTTTGTTTCTTTTCATGTCATGTTTTGTTTGTTTCTCATCAGGTTCATCATTTACAAAGCACCTGGAGAGATTATCCCTAGATCTAACCCTAGAAGATATAACAACAAGATGAACTACTTGTACATTGATTCAGCAAACAGCAAGTCCTACATACACAATAGACCCGGCTACAAGAACCTCAAAGATCCATCTGGTGCCTTGGCCCACACCCTGAGACCAATCTTGAAGAAAATTAGAAACATGGTGAGACCATTAGTTTGGTCCAGTAATGGTCCTCTACCAAAACACATGATTTAATGCATATGCTGGAAACACTCAATACAGGTACACGTGCAGATTTAAAGTGTGAATGCTGTTTCTCCATGAAATGGAGAGAAATAATGATTTGCTTAAATTGTAGGTACTTAACAGTAGTTCTGACATATCCAGTTGAAACTATTACAAGCGCATGCAAGGGATTGAAGAAAAACAATGGCTGGGTAGTGCTGTCAGTGGACAAGTGAAAAAAACAACATGCCCACTTTAGTCGAAGAGGCAAAAGCGCATCACATGAGACAGCTTCAGGCAACTGAGGAATTTTTATTACCAGGAGAAAAAAATCCACGTCCAGAAGCAGGAATTAGATTAGATTCAGTGTTTTCACCATTTCACAAACGTCTATGAGACTGTGCTGTCATGTAGGCCGAGGATGTCTCTTGAAAGTGTTAATGCAGGGTTTTTTTTCTTTTTTTTTTTGTATGATTTACAGGAGCCAAACTTTGGATTCATCAGCTACAGTGATCAACCTCCAGGATGTTCCTCACATAACACGTTTGGCCACAGTAAAGGTAAAGAAAGCTTCTTTTTACAGACAGCACATTGTCAAACATATAAAACAAACACTGGAAAAAGTTTGTTAGACTATTGATCTTATAAAATGACTGAATCATTATTATGAAGGCAGTGAAAGGATTAAAGTGCTTTGAATAAAATGCATCCTATTCCTTATTTTATGACCAGCACTGTAACTGTTTACTGTCCACAGGGGTGATCATGGTGGAAAGAGAGAGAGCTGGGGTCTGGCTCTTGCACAGCACACCTCAATTCCCCTTCAGAAGAGACCAAAACAATTTCTGGCCTGAATCTGGATTACAACTTGCTCAGACGTTCATCTGTGTAACTTTCAACTATAACCAGTTCATACAGATTGGTAAAAAGCTCAGTTCGAACTCTGGACATTTCACAATTTAAAGCCCAGAGGCTGATCTAAACCTCACAGTAAAGATCTTGTTTAACTTTTTCCAGGTAAACATCTGCAGTACATCAGAGCTTTTCCATTTGAACATGATATTCCAGATGATTTCCATCAAGAGCTCATAGATGCAACAAAACGGGTTGAAGTTCCCCCATCGAGTGATTACCAAACACTCAGATCAAGAGGAGGTCTGAGCTTTTATAGCATTGCTAAACAACAGTTGCAAGAGCCAGGTGAGATGTCTGCATGTTTAAAGGTTAAAGTAATAATCATCCTTTAAATTACACTGTGGAGGTATGGCACAGACGACACAGGAACTCCAGCTTTTCACTCCGACTTTATCCGTCTCCACATAACTTTGAGCCACACACTTGACAACAAACCTCCCAGCAACCTGGGTGTGAGTGGAGCCCCCTAGTTGGCTGCCATAACACCCGTTTTTGTTGGTTAAGCTTTTAATGGTTACAGTGATATTTGTCTGGTTTAAGACCAGACAAATATCATTGGGGATGAGAATGGATGACTTGGAATCTTTAAAGAGAGGACAGGTTTTAGGATCAGCCTAGCTCAATGCCAGTTGACATATATGTATTTACATCCAAATAGAAATTTAGGCGATGATATTTATGCTGCCTATAGCTGCCGACAGCTGCTGCATATCTGAAATCCACGTACTGTTATTCACTTTGTTACTGACGTTATGTCTTCATCAATGGCTGAAATGCAGTGTCTGAGAAGAGAGTGTGAGTGTAAACGGGTTTTAAAAGGTTCAATGTTTCAAAAAGACAGGAAATGCTTTAAATGCTCCTTGATCCTTTTGCAGATGGAGACCTGTACCACACTATTGCCCGGGCAGTTCAGAGTCATGTGTATGTGCAGACGTGGGGCTGCCAGAAAGATCGGGCCGATTCTGACTGCTCAGACACCAATCATGTGTACAACATTAAAACTATAAAAAAGGTTCTGGGTCCTGCTAGTACATGGAGTCCTACAAAGGACCATTCAAAGTGGTGTGTGACCAACAGTGAATCCAACCGTGAATGGACCTGTATAGCTGATGTCAACAGGGCTCAAACCCAGTATCAGAGACGAGGCGGGGCACTGTGCATTGTGAACAGAGACGTAAGAAACAAGTTCTGGGAGTTTGCTAGAGAGTTTGATGAATGTAGTACGACCCCAACCACCACGGACACCAGTGACTGTGAGCCTGACTTAAAAAGAATCCACTTGGATCCGTCAGTGATAGGCTGAATACAGCTCAACTTTACTTCACTGTGGACTTTACCAATCCTGCCGTTAAATATTAAAAACATAAGGAAAAGGAAAGATTCGTAAGTGTTAGTTTAATTATCATTCTGAAAAGATGTGTGACAATATGACAAACACTAAAATAATAAATCTGGATAAAATACATCTGGTTTATGTTATGTTTGTTATGCTTTCACTCATTGTCATTTATTCTGCAGTTGTTGACCCTTTCTGCAGTGTCTCCTGGTGTTTGAATTTCTGCTTCTTTAATTTTCTTTCATACCTAAGAAGATGAATTAATTGCTTAATTAAAAGGATACAAATACAGCTTCAATTAAGTTTATAAGAATAACTTGTGTTTTTGAACAATAACACAGTACTCACTTTGAAACATGCAAAGTCAAAATAAATTAAATACTACATGCACACAAAATAGTGTAATTTATATTTCCCTTTTTATTGTTTTTTTCATTTAAAATTAAGGTTTTCCTAGAAGAAGTTTGTTAACATTTTGCTGATAAGTGAAGATTCTCAGGAGAAACAGAAAAACAGGAGACCACACAGGACTGTGTGAACTCTGTGTGTACATTTGTTTGAAATATTAATGAAATACTGTGTCAACACAAATTTGATTTTCCCAGAAAAAACAGGATAAAAAGGAAAAACTGAAGATCTCTCAGATATTGTATTTACACATCCCATTTTATTGCTTAATAAGCTCAAGGTTTAGTGTACTTGAACTGTAAGAAATAGAATCAATTTCAATTACAATTCCATACAATTGTATTTTATCTTCAATAGAACACAGAAACACATCAAATGTTTGAACTGAGTAATCATGCCATTTTACATTCGCCTGCTATGAAGCCGTGCTGCTGGGATAAATGCAGTATGTGGTTTAGCATCATCATGCTGACACATGAAGGCCTTCCCTAAAAAGGATGTCTGGATCAGAGCATTTTCTGCTCTAAAACCTGCACATACTGTTTAACATGTACGCCTTTTAAGATGTGAAAGCTGCTATGGCATTAGGCACTAATGCAGCACCATACCATCAGAGATGCTGTTTTTAGACTGAATCATCTTACTAACCTGTTATCAACTAATCATGTGTAAAATGTTCCAACAGTTCTTTCTTTCTTAGTATTACTTTCTGTTCCAGGGTTCTGTTGCCCCCATCGCAACATTTTTGAGATGTTACGGCAAAAAAAAGAGAAAAGAAGTTCCAGACACATGTACAGTAATTATGCAAAATATAATGTGATTCTCAGACATGTTTTAAAAATACATGAGAATCCTACAAACTGTGGGCCGGTATGCTACTGGAGCACCTGCAGGAAATCCATTTAACATCTGAAAAGTCAGATGTCCTGAGATATGCATAACAACAAATTACCTCTGAGGCAATAACAGAGTGACCAAATTACTGAGAAGAGAGAAAACAGCTGTTTAGGTCAGTTCTGTTTATGTATTTTTAAGGGACAAAGTCCACGCAAATATTGACTGGTCTGAAAGTTTAAGGATGATAAGCTGTAAACAGAGACCTGTTCCTGTAAATGTCTAATCAAATAAAGAAGACGCCAGGTGAACGCTGTTTTCTATTTTTCATGCTATGAGGAGCGTTAAAAAGATGAATCAGACAGAAATGCATTTGCAAGTAGAAGTTTGAGAACACATCGTCTAAATAAAAATTATGTAAACAGAATGTGACTGAAAAACAAAACAAAGCAAAAGAGTTCTACTGTCTAATGTTTTCTTTTTTTTTTTTTTTTTTTTTTTTTTTAAATGACATCAGAAACAGCAGTATGCGACATTACGTGATGGCAGAGCTTCAGTTCATCCTTTGTCTTTTTTTTTTTTTTAAATAAATAGGACAGGGGGAATGAATGAGAGAAAGAGGGGGAGAGAAAGAAAGAAAACCAAAGGGGAGAAGAGACGGTGAGAAGGGGGGGGGGGGGGGGAAATAAACAACTCCTGGGTCACCTGTATGGAGAAAAAAACAAACAAACAGAGGAGACAGCAAACAACAAAGAGCAACATAATAATAGAGAAAACAAAGCACCATCACAATAAACTAGCTAGTCATAGATATCAATAGTTACTAAATAATAAACGATATTGTGCAGCACGCAAGATAGACAGCGCACAGTGTGCTTTGAGGCAGCAGCCAAGAAAGCTTTAGTCCGCGTCTGTGAATACCCATGTGTACACCTGTGTGCATACCTGTGTGGATCAGCATGCTTGCATTCCAAAGGTTTCTCCATGTAATGATCTGCTAGGGAGTGTGGGGGGGCCACAGCCCCGTCCTCCAGGGTGTGAAGCGGGTATGGAGGAGATCAAAACTACTGTCTAATGTTTTCATTAGAACCATACATCACTTTCTCTTAACCACCACAGAAGAGAAGAGCTCCTTTCTACACTCAAGCTAAAGCTTTAATAACAACGAGCACCACAATTCGGATAATTTTCTTCGACTTCTCTGGCCCTGATAACATGATCCAGTCCAGGATGCTGAGGGAGAAGCTGGAAGACATGCAGGTGGAGGATACACAGGTCCAGTGGATCAGTGACTTCCTGACAGGCAGACCACAGTTTGTGAGACTGCAGCAACTGAGCACCCTGTTCTGTCCCCTTTCCTCTTCACCATCTGTGACTGTCTCCTTCAGAAATTCTCTGATGACATGGCCAACTCGAGACCGCTTCCTCTCATCTCATGGTACAGAGTGTACACAGTCCTTATCAGACCTAATAAGGTTAAGATATTTTATCAACATATAAATGATTATATATCTCCAAGCATAAATAATTATATGTTTCTAAGCACAAATGACAACCTAAAAAATATCAATTCTAACAATTACAAGTGCTTTTCTGATGAAGACTTTTTTAAACTGTGAACAGCAGCTAAGTCAATAAGGATCTGTGACTCCTGTGTCCAAAAGTCCTCAGCAGTGGAAACACCACAGTTCAAAATCCAAAGTGCAAACCTTTTTCGCTGCAGTCCTCAAGATGCTCTCAGCTGTTTAGCTTTAGGTAGAGCAGAAAAGTTTTACATATTTCAATACCACTGAATGTTACATAAGACCCTGAAAACAAGGTGACAGTTGCTTCCCAAGCAAAAACCTCTGCATGTGCTCAGAGACCCTAAATCACAACAAATAAGACAATAATAAGACCAAACATATAAGTGACATAAGAGGCTAGGGAAAGAGCAAGCATGAAGTGAGATGCTGTTTGTGTGTGTACGTGTGTGCACACTTGTTCAAGGTCCCTCTCGTTATGTACCAGTGTGATAAAGTCCTGAATGCAGCCTTCAGTTCTGAGCCTTAAAGAACATACACTCAGCAGCAGAATAGAATCACGTATAACTACATTTATACATTTTCTAAATTACCAATTAGTACATGCACATTCCTGCAACAATGTGATACAAAATGTGAACTACAGTTGGTGGTTTTAGCATGGAATGGCATAACAAGCAGGCTAGTTTCCAGATTAGGGCATAAGTTAAGTCCTGATTTAACTCAGTAAAAAGTGAATCACATTTGAAGCAGAAAACCCGGGGTTAACCCTGAAGTTACCTGGATGTGACAAAATCTCCTCTTATACTAGAGGCCTCTGTTGTCAGGGGTGGAACACTTCAAAAAGACTCTGAATGACTTGGACATTAGGACAGACGCCATAACCACTGAAGAAACTGCAGCCGTGATCAAACTCCTTGAGAATGGCAATGTGTTGGGCATGTACATGGTGTCTGCAGAAATGCTGAAGCACATCAGTGCCCCGTCAGCTTATGTTGGTCATTGGCACACGTGCAAGAAGATTGGCTAAGAGGAGTTACAGTAAAGCTCCCCAAGAAAGGCAACCTGGCGGACTGCAACAACTGAGGAATCACACTATAGCCGAAGACTTCATAAGGCCCTGGACCAGGAATTCCGGGAAGAACAAGCTGGATTCTGCAGTGGCTGGTCGTGCACAGAGCAGAATTTAATCCTGTTCACAATCACCGAACAGACTTTGGAATACCAGCAGCATCTCTCGATTAATTTTGTCGATTTCACATAGGCATTTGATAGCGTCATATGGCATCCCTGAACAGTTCATCAAAATATTCCGAACGCTCTACCTTCGATCCAGTTGCTGCATCCTCACAGAGGATCGCTACATCACCACTGAGACCGATATGAGGAAAGGGTGCATTCTCTCTCCCTTCCTCTTCCTCCTTGCCATTGACTTTGTTCTGCAAACTCTCATTTCAGTCTCACATTAGTTACACAACCTGGCTTGCATATGTAACCCCCCTCACTCTCTATGTCCGGTGCTGTAAAACTCTCTGGACTCGAGATGGGTAGCGCTCAGGTGTGGTTTATTCCCCTTTTCTGGGTCTCTGCAATAACATGGGACATGAGTAACCATGGGTTTCTATCAACAGGATTCCGCCCAACACAGCAAAAGCTTCATTGCTACTAACGGATAAGCAAATGATCGTATAGTGGAACTCTTAGTTTTCTTAAAATAAATAAAAACCAAACATTGATTGAAAAATAAAATGGCAACAAAACTTATTACGGAAAATAAAATAAAAATGTTACTGCATTGTGGTTTAGATAAAAAAAGAGAAATTAATTCACTTAAATGCGCATTCATGTGAAAACAAATAAACTTCCAGACCAAAGCCAAAATTTCCTTTCATGTACAATAGTAAAGGGAACAATGCTGCCATCTACTGGGCAAAACTTAATAAGCAGTACTTCTTAAACAGAATTAGCCTGCAGCACAAAATACACATACCTGCAATAACATGGGACATGAGTAACCATGGGTTTCCAGCAACAGGATCCCGCCCAACTATCAAGAGAAGTTTCAAATTATTAGACACGACAGTCTCCTCTAGCTGTTAGCTGTTAGCTGCTAGCTCAGCGTCTCCATTTTTCCTACCGTCTAACCCATTAATTTCAAAACAAGATCATAAAACTGAAATCTACTCAGATGCTACTGTATGGGCAGTTCATGCTGTTAATGCACTGTCATGTTAACTTCAGGATTTTCAAATATGTTTTAAACTCATGTTCGGTCAGGGCGGACTGAGGAAGAACTTCCCACAGCAAAAGCTTCATTGCTACTAAAGGGATAAGCTTAGGGAAAACCA